GGGGGGGGGGGAGCAGTAAGGTTCCCTGTAGAAGAGGCTCTTCTAAACTAGTATTTCTGAAACTATGCTCTGTGGGGTAATAGACTTCCAGAACATCCTAATAAATGTTCTTCCAAAAAATATATATTTTCATGGTCAAATATGCTTGGGAAATGCTAACTTCTACATTATGCCTCTCTTGGAGATTCAGTGTACATTAGCACATTAAAGGCTCTGAGGGGACTTGTAACGTAGAAGCATTTTTAACTTTGCTTTAACTAAAATACAGACACTGCTAACTGTTCACCCAACAACCATTCTCCCCTTTTCCTTGCCAACAGAACCTTGGTTTCGTTTAGGTGGCCGTATTTCAGCTGGGAACATCGATCCACACCCATCCCCGTTGCCAACAATTAGTTTAGGGATGAGTATGTGACTCAGCTTCAGTCAGTAAGATACAGGAAGAAGTGAAGGCATCTAGGGAAGAATATTCTTACGTAAACAGAGAAAAATGAAGAGAAAACGCTTTTGCTCCATCCGGCCCCTTCTCTGTCTTCCTGGGAGGCTGTTGTATAAGAATGTGATGTATGGAGCTGGTTGAACACGAGAGAATTCACCAGCACTGAGCATATGGCGGCTGAAGTGACAGAAAATGCCTAGTTCTTGATGACAGTATTGAACCATCTAAGCAGCTCAATAAACGTCCTTATAAATTAAGTCAAGTGTATTTCTAATTGTGGACAACAGCAGTCTAGCTGATATGCCCGGCATTGCTCAGCTGTACTTGGCCATGGGACCATTCTGTGTGGGAAAACTATTGACATGGTGTGTCAGGGAGCGTGGGCTGGGAACTCTGGTGTAAGCCTTTTACTATTGTTATAATAGCAGCTCCTCACTCAAACCACCCCTACCCTCAGCTCAGCTCGGGTGTTACACTGGGCTTTATAGGCTCTGAGAGTGACCCTGACACGAAGGCCAGGTCCACATAGTTAGCAAAGAGCAGAGTCTTAATTGAAACGATTCAGCTCTGTTTTAGGATGTCTTTCTCCCAGGAGCAGCTTTATAGCCAGGTTGGCAGAAATGTTTTAAATTGAGACTAGTGGTAGTGTGTAAATTTCACAGAGTCATAATTTGTCAGGGAAGGATTTTACCAACCTAGTTTCCCATCTCCATTACACGCATGAGGAAACTGAGGCAGGCTCAGGGAGGCTAAGAAATTCGCTTCATCACAAAGTTCATCAGCTGCACAACTAAAGTCCTCTGCAGCCATTCCGAGGGTTTCCAGAGATACAATGATGTTTTGTAGCCTCAGGGTGTCCGGGATTAATGTTGGCCTCCTCGGGATGAAGTCATGATGGCATCAGCTTTTGGGTTAACAGATTGTCTGTAGGTTTCTGCTGAGAAAGTGAGAAGTATGGCTCACAAGCTTTCCTTGTCTAGAAATTGTATATGTCTTTTTTGTTTTGTGCTTTACATTTTATTTTTTATTAAGTACCTTTTCAAAAATCATACAACTACATCTATGAAACTTTGCAAAGAAACATAAAAAGAGAGTTAATTTCTACCTCCCTTGTTGCATCCCTTATTTCCCTTTCTTAGGTATGTTCCCTAACTACTACGTATCCTTTCATACTTTACTCTGTGATCATATATATTGTGAGTAAGGATTACTTTTGCTTTCCTTTCTTACAATTTCTTAAAAAGCACAATCATTTTATCCATATTTCTTAGTATTTTGCTTTTACCCCTTATATCATAAGAATCCCTGTGGTTTCATTGAAGTAGACATAATCCATTTTTATTAATAGCTGCATCATATTACATTGTATTGCAGTAATACACTTCATTTTACTGTTTGCCAACTTCTGGACATTAATTTTGTTTCTAGTTATTTCTTATGGAATGCACACACACATAGATTTAGATACCGTGGCGTATATACACATCCATATCTTTAGTAGTGATGATTTTTTTCCTGGCAGATCAGCATCTCTAAAGTGATTTGTTGCATCCGTAGATATGACTATTATTAGTTTTAAAATATTTGTAACAACTTTCTGTCACATTTTCACTAGTATAAGGGGTTCTCTCTCTTAAAATTTGTTTTCAGTGTCACATGGGTGACATGGTTCAGTAGCATTTTAATTTGCACTTCTTTGATTACCAGTGACCTTGAGCATCCTTTCTGATGCTTCTGAAGCATCAGAGTTGCTTTTTGTGAAAGTTAGTTTGTGTGCTAAAGGTTCACAACNAAAGTTAGTCTGTGTGCTAAAGGTTCACAACTTTAAGCTACATAACATCTCCTGAAAAAATATTTAGGGAAAGGAGTATGCAAAACATCAAATACTTTTTGAGCGTGTGCGTGTGTGTGTGTGTGTCTGGTCACAGCATTATTGCTCAAAATACAGGATCTATATTATCTAGTTACTAATGATAGAATTCTATAAGATTTTGTATAATTTAAAGATGATAGAGCCTATATACCAAACACCAATATTTAACCTTACATGAAAAACTATGTAAACAAGTTTTGGGAAAAAGAACTGAGTCCCATTAACTGGTGTATTCCATCTTCACATTCTAGAATAGCCTTTAGCAAATGAACACGATGACAGCAACTGCCCCCATTTTCAGTTTCTAATGTAGAAACACAATTTTTTAATGTAGGATTAAAAAAAAATTTACAACGACATCTTGAGACTGGAAAAGCAGATTGTGTTATTTCATTTCTTCGGGGAAGGGAATCAAGGGCCAAAAAGAGCATTTGTTTGTTGTCGTCCTTAAATATTAACCAAATATATATAATTTAGTGACAGGATCGCATTTTCTATGGCTGCACCGTAATTCCATACGGTGGGATGTTCTTTCCTTCCTTCCTTCCCACGTTCTTTCTCCTGTTTTGCTAGGACGTGTAAAATCCCAGTAAACACCCTAGCAAGTACATTTTCGCCAGCGCTCCTCAGCCCCTTGCATCTGATGCCCAAATTTGAAACACTGAGTCAAGTGTCACGAGCTTGCCCAGGCTCCTGACCAAAGCGCTAGTTCTCAAGGCCAACAACTTCAGGAGGCTTCCCTTTTCACAGAGACAATGATCCATCCCAGGAGAGCGGTGTCAGAGTGAATTTACTTTATAATTTTGATGTCCCTTCAGCCTTTTCTCCGTCAGATTCCGTAGCTCACGTATCTGTGGCCTTTGCTCATGGCACAATTATTCTCTTTTCCCTGACGTTCAAAATGACTGCAGAGACGCTCTACCCATGGCTACACCCTACTTACTTGAACTTGATGCCAAGAATCAGTCTTTCCTCCCTCTGGCCTGGCCTTGGACAAGATGATGCTGAGCTTCCTTGAGCTTAAGTGAAATTATAAGCAGGACTACACAAGAGCTTTCTCCCCACGCAGGGAGGCAATTTAAGTGCCTGTGCGAAATACCCATCTAGAAAGTGAATGTGTTCAGAGACATATATCCAGCCTGCTTCGTGTGGATTTCCCAGTGAGGCCAAAGTGTGATGCTAACACGTGAGATAGACATCAACTCATCAAAAAATGGATTTTTCCTCGGGCCCCAGGGGATTGTAGTGAATTCAGGAGTATCTGTCGAAACCCATACCTACGGCTATACCTGTTCCCTTACTTATTCCTAAGCCTTATGTTTCTAAGCCTTGTCTCCGCTTCAGAAATAACAGTTTTGTCATATGTCAGTCATGTTCACAGAATTTTTAGATTTCAGATCATAAATATTACTGTGACTTTTTTTAGGTACCTCGTGGAAGAAATCAAGAAAAGAAAAGGGTTCAGGTTACTGATGGAAGTAAGTACGGAATTGATTGTGCTTGTGATTTTGTCACTCAACAGAGTTGAAGGTGGCAATTTTCTAATCTGTTATATTTCATTGGTTTTTGTGTTGCAGGCTTAGAAACAAGTCATTAGCTTAATTCATAGAGTCCATTATGTTAATTTAGTCTATTAGTGAGTATTTTTTCTTTGTTGGATTCGGAGAACACACTTGCCTTTACATATTGAAAATTAAAGTGCTCAATAATAATTACCAAGGATAATACTGAATAAATTATGTCCTCTATCTTGATATATAAATTGCATAATGATTGTACTGCCAATGTTCAGCTGTGCTATAGTGGTGCCTGCATGCGAAAAATCCATTAAGTGTATGTACAATAATGCTTATAGATTTCTCTTTTTATAAAATTATGAGAGCATATTAGCTTTGGAGCAGTGGGAAAATAAGTTATTTTGTTGTTGGATTGTTTGCTAGACATAGAAATAGGTGATTACAAAGATAGAGAATATTGTTTTTCTCCCTTAAATTTATGATTAGAAAATATGAGGAATGTTATTTAATTCTGATTTTTAAGAAACATAAGTGTGAGGTTTTGTTAGCTCTTCTTATAGCATATACTCAATAGCAATTTTTTTAAAACCTTTTTATCTTTATTTTTATTATATATATATATATATATTGAGTTCAGAGAGAGGAAGTAAGGGGGAGAAAGATAAAGATAGAAATATCATTGATGAGAGAGTCATTGATCGGCTGCCTCCTGCACGCCCCCTACTGGGGATCAAGCCTTCAACCTGGGCATGTGCCCTGGCCAGAAATTGAACTTTGATCTCCTGGCTCAAAGGTCAATGCTCAACCGCTGAGCCATGCTGGCCTGGCTCACTAGCAATTTTTAACCTAATGTAAAAATCATCTAGAGATTGTAGCCTAGGAACCTATTTTGTATATAAGCAATCTGGCTATTTTTGGTATTTATTTATTAGCAAGATTTATTGAACAATTTCTGTGTGCCAGGCATAGTTCTAGGCACTGGAGCTACAAAACAGGGAAGTTCCCTGTTCTCATGGTGCTTATATTCAAATGAAAAGTGACAGGCAATAAACAAGCAAATTAATACATAGGAAATATCAGGTGGTGAGAAGTCTTAGGAAAACAAATGAGTTCATGAGAGATGATCTACTATACAGATAAATAATTAGACAGCTACAGATGTGATAAGCGCCGTAATGGAAATGAGTAATGTGAAGTGCTAAAACAGGTGTGAGTAGGGGATGGCTTGCTTGATTTGGGCAGTCCAGGGAGAGCCCTCTAAGGTTATCTTTGAGCTGAGATCTGAATGAGGGTAAACGGTGTGCCTTGCAGTTGTCTAAAGGAAAGGCATTCTAGGTAGAATCAATAAACAATGGCAAAGGCTTAGAGATGAAAAGACTTCTATGTGTTTGAGGAGCCAAAAGAAGGTGTATTAAACAAGGGGGCAGGCAGGTTGCAGTATTTGATGAAGTTGGAGAGGCGGGCAGAGCCCAGATCAGTTGGACTCAGGTAGGTCATGGTAAGACCTTGGGCTTTTATTCCAAGTGTAATCATTGGAGAAGTTTTAAGGAAACAGGAGCCTGACTTGCATTTTAAAAGGTCATGCTGGATGTCTTGGGAAGAGAGGAATGGGGGGTGGGGTGGGGTGGGGTGAAGGGCATACAAGGAAAGAATAAATGAGACAAATTGGGAGACTGTTGTAGTAGTCCAAGTTTTCAGACAAGTTTTAGAAACCCTGCTCCCGTCTACAGCCGTGCCACTCTGAACCCCCCCGATCTGGTCTGATCTCGGAAGCTAAGCGGGGTTGGGCCTGGTTAGTACTTGGATGGGAGAAACCCTGCTCCAGAGAATTCTGACTGTGGCTTCCACCACTATCTACAAAGGAGTTCAAAGTTCATGAAAAACAGGGATATAAAGAAACTTGCAAAGGTATCAAAAGAATCCATATTTAAATGATTTTCTGGTAACACTTCAAAGAAGCAAGAAGACAAATTTCAAATATGGGACATTCTACAGGACAGCTGGCCTGTTTCCTCAATAGGTCAGTGGCCTGAAGAAAAACAAAGAGGAAGTGGTGATAATCACTTTAGGTTCAAAGGGACAGAAGAGGTGTAACAACTAAATGCAACATATGAAGCTGTCAGAATTCTAGTTTGAACAAGCCAATTGTAAAAAACACATTTTGAAATGGGGATTTCTAATATAAATTAATATTGGATAATATCAGGGAACTATCAATAATTTTCTTAAGCATGATAATGGCATTATGATAATACAAGAAATGCCTGTACTTTTTGGAAATGCATACTTATGCATGTATGGTGAAACAACAACTACGCGATTGGCTTGACTTTGAGTTTTATCTTTTTTATTTTCTTGAGTTTGAGTTGCCACCTTATTTTCTTGAGGTCGAGTTACCTCTTTATTTTCTTAAGTTTGAAATGCCTTCTTCAGTTACCTGACTATGGGAACTACAGTGTTTATGGAAAGTGCTCTGTACCTCAGATCTGCACAGTCTTTTGATAGAGCTAATAAAAAAAGTGGTGAGAAAAAAAGATGAACTGATTTAAAAGTTATTTATATATTCTTCCTAATGGCATAAACATTGTAGGAGGAGCCATTGCCATCATCTTTAGGGAACTGTAAACATTCAAATCCTTGTAATGAAAGTTGAGGTGGGTTTTAACTATTAGGTAGCCTTTTGCCTTGGATATTTTATCTATGGGAGCCAGATGGCCCCAAAGCAGCGAAGGTGGCTTTCTCAAAGATTCTCCAGAATTCCTGTTTAGAAGGGTTTTTTGTATGTGATCTGCATTTGCCTCTTTTCTCTGTATTCCCCTTGGAGTAATAAAGTAAATTTAGACCTTGAATTTCACATGTAAGTGTCAAGTTGATTAGCCTCTTTTTGTTAACAAATGCTTTCATTGGATTGATTAAATATAGCCCTAATGCAGACTTAAGACAAGAAACACAAAAGATCCATTTGGAGCTCAGGTCTGTGAAACTACAGTCCCTTCAGTTTAGGGAAAATCAAAGTCCATAATTACATATCCAGTAGTCCCTGCTTATCCCTGGGGCATATGTTCCAAAGCCCCCAGCAAATGCCTGCAATTGTGGGTAGCACCAGGCCCTTGGATATACTGTGTTTTTTCCTATGCATACACATGTCTATGATATGTATTAGGAACAGTAAGAGATTACAACAAAACAGTGTCCAGCGCTTGAATATGTTTTCCTGAAAAGGGCAGAAGTAATGCATCTCTTATTAAAGATGATTGGAAGTTATCATTTCAAAGGAATTCTGCATTATTCATAGGCCCCTGAAAATCATATCTGTTTTCCTGTGTTGGATCTGAGATCTGATAATAGATGTTTTCCTGGAGGTATGTTCATTCTTACACTATCATTCACATATTTTATTTTGATCTCTTGGGAGAGTCCTAATTATTCAACTTTTTGCTTTGCTTTTCCTGAGCTCTATATTAGGCAGAGTTATTTGGGTTGCATAGACTTTCTGAGTTACAGCGGCTCTTCAGGGACATCCTGTTAACTTTCTGCTCCACGCAGGAAACCTCTCTTAGCAGCACCAGTAACAGGAGGTCAGCCTTTGCCTGAACGCTTCCTGTGTCAGAGAATTCACAGTTCATTCTTCTTCCAGGAAGCTTTAATTATTCATATTCTAATACTTGTTGAATCCTACTACTAATATGTATTAAGCACATTGTAATTTATAGTTATCTTTTTATGTGGTTTATTAGATCACAACAACCTTCTAATTGCTTAATCCGATGCATAACCTTTAATCTTTGTCTTGTTGAACTTCAGCATCACTTGACTCCATTATCCACTCCATCCCTCTTGAAGTTCTCTCCTGTCTTGGTTTCTTTGACTTTCTCAGTTTTTTATCCCCTTGTCCTGTGACTTTTCCTTTTCAGTCTGTATGTGAAGGTCTCTTCATCTGGGTACCCCTTAATGTTCTTTTTCACTCCTTTGTCTTTAGCCCTTCATTGTGTTCACATTCTCTCTCTGAAATGCTTTATCTGTATCTAGAGCTTTGTTATCAATAGCCTCAAGAATGTCTCCATTCTTGACTTGTCTCCTAAACTCTAGTCCTTTGTGTATAGATGTATCCTGGAATTTTCAATTAGACCCCCACAGACACCTCAAATTCAGCATGTTCAAATCTGGGGTGTAGCCATTTTTCTTACCAAAATTCTACATTCTTCATTTGGTCATGAGAAATATGCTCCCTCCAAACAACAATCTTGATATTGTCTTAATGATCTCCCTTCCCCTTCACCTAAATGTATCTTGAGTACCTTCTCCACTCCTGGAGCTACTGCCTCTCATTACTCTTCAAGTAGGAACTGTCCCCTAGCTCATCTTCTGCTTCCAGTCTTAGGCCTTTTCGGCCCATCTCCATTCTGCAGCCACAGTGTGGCCTCGATAAAGTGAATTCTGATCCCTATGTTGAAAGTCTCCAATGATTCCACATTGCCTCTAGGATCAAGCCCAAACTCCCAAGGTTGGCATATGAGGAAGCCCTTCATGAAATGACTCCCATCTCTATCTCAAGCTCCACCTCTCTTCCGTACACCCCGCTCTCTATTCTTTCCAAGTATTTGTCATCCTCCTAAATGCACTGACTTCTACATGTGCACTATTCCCTTTGCCAGGTATGTTGCTTGGATTATGGGATACTTTTTCTTGTGTAATGCTCATTCCATTGCAGTTTAACTGCCTGTACCTAGCACCATTGATCTCTGAGTTCCTGGGAATATGCATATATAAATGAAAGTCACATTTCTCATCCTAATGCCTATGTATAGAAATTTTGCTTGTTAAATTCAACATTTTGGTTGCCCTTCTTTGGACATGCTCTAATTTTTTCTAATGTTCCTTTACAAATATGGTATGTAGAAATGAACAGTGATGCATCGCATAAATTTTAGCAAGGCTATTTGTCCACTTGAAGAGGATATCTCTTTCTACCAGTATGGCCCCAAATAGTAGTCACTACACTAATGGAGTTCCTGCTGTATGAAGATATTATACTACATATTGGTAATAAATGATCTCTTTATGCATCAGACTTTGTGTAGCAAACAACATCATCTCCATTTTATAGATTAAGAAGCTGAAGCATAGAGAGTTAGACATTTATTCAGGCAAAGACCAAGTGAAGCTGGAATTCAAACATCTGTGTGACTCTGAAACTCATGCTTTTTCTGCTTCTTAGTGCTGCCTTTGAAATTTTTCAGCAGTCTAATCAGATATTTAAAGCTTATGAGCTTGAAGTCAATTAAAATCTCCTCTTCCCCCTTTTTCCATTCTCCATTTGCATGATTAATTGTGCCAACCTACGTGCTAGATTCTGCATTTATACGTATAAAAATGGATAGTGCTAGTTTGTTTTTTATTATTATTATTGCGATCTAATGATATTTTAAGCAAAGGAAATGAATTTATTTTAACATGACTCAGTTTTGGAGAATGCAAGTTACTACATGTTAGTGACCACTGACTTTTTCCCCCAAGGGTTCTTATATCATTTGCTCAAAGATCCTTGCTGGAATTGACATCAAAACAAATGCTTTATTTCTTGAAATATATCTATTTTTTTCTCTTTGAAAATCAAGATAAAATGTATCCATATTTTCTTTAGTGACACTTCTCTACTTCTCTATAAAATTTTAAACTACAACAGGGCTTTTTGCCCTTCACTCATCAGTTTAGTCTAGATACTCGGGTTCCTTTTTATGCCTTCTCAATTTTATGCTGTTAGAGAACATAGACTAAATGTGTCCCTGAGACACCCAAGTTGTCAGGCTTTCATATATGTAAGGAACTAAGTGGCATGTGAATGGTTCTACTCTGAAAATTCTCAGTGCTTTGAATCCTCTTGAAGAAAGTCATTATGTATAATCCAAGCTGCAGAGGTAAAAAGACAGGAATAACTGAAATATGCTCCTTGTGAATATTCAAAGGAATTTTTTTTTCAATTCACTAGTTTTGGAAGTGACCACAGTAAAGGTATGTCATCTAATGGAGCGCCACATTTCCTCCAAAGACATGGTGTGTTCCAAAGGGCTTCACAAGTTTTCAAATGTCAAAGCACTGAAGCCACACTATTTTAAAAGAATGTTTGGACAAAAGGAATCACAGATATGGCACTTCTTTTTTTAAATCCTCATTGAGGATATTTTTTCTGTTGCTCTTCAGGGAGAGCGGAAGGGGGAGAGAGAGAGAGAAGGAGAGAGAGAGAAACATCGATGTGAGGGAGACACATCGATTGGTTGCCTCCCGCATGGGATCGAGCCTGCAAACGAAGTACATGCCCTTGGCCAGAATCAAACCCAGAACCCTTCAGTCCAAAGGCTGATGCTCTAACCACTGAGCAAAACTGGCTAGGGCAGTATGGCACTTCTAAAAGTGGTGTTGGGGAAGCTGTCAGAGGGCAACTTGCTGCTGGTCACCAATGCTTCAGAAAAGAATCACAAATTCTTCAGGAGACCCATGAAATGAGCTCACAGGAACCAGGTAGAGATACGTCTTCTTTCTCAGTGTCCCTCCAGCACCCTCTGCTGATAAAGTCTAAGACTGGAACAGCTGGCAAGGAGAAATATTTATAGAGTTCACCTCCATTATTAAAGGACTCAAAGAAAGGGTGAATTTGGAGCTGAGAGGCAATAAATTGATCATTGAAACAAATGCTGTCTGGAACTTAATCTGTTGATATGAAGACATGAATTCCTAGAATCTAGTACAGACAATAACTATATTTTTCTTCTACTTTCTAATGAACCACAGTTACTTTATTTGAAAAGATATAGTCACATTAAACAACTGAAGAATTTTGGATGCCAGTACATTCTATCCTAGAGAAACCAAATCAATTGTAAATTAGAAATCCAAGTATAAATTGTGTAGATTTGTAAAGACTATTGTAGTCTCACGATCAATATTTGCAGAAATTCAGTTGCATTACATAGTGCTCCATTTTGAACTACTCTATATTTTGAAGGTTTGTAGATTTTTTGGCCAAATCCAATAAGCATGTTACAGATTTCAAAGGTGAAAGGATGAAAAGATCAAGACCTTACCTTCTTGAGCCAGAAATGTTTCTGGGCATTCACTGTGTAGCAGGTATTGATAGTCAGAACTGTTAAGTCAGCTTCAAACTTTAATGTTTGCTCTCGATCTTGTGCGCATCTCTTACGAAAAGGGAAGCACCCTGTAGGGGCACTCAACTGAGATGAAAATTTCCCAGTAGGATGTTATGAGAAGTAAGGCAGAATGAATGCCTACTCTAGCAGATTCTGATTTGTTATCAACATAATACACACGTAGTAACTCTTAAAGAAACCAGCTAAGACTTAATTGCATTCTAAGATTAACTTTAGATTAACAACTTTCAAATTTCCTTAATCTTCAGCCTGAATATGCCAATATTTGTTTTTGGTACATTCCACCAAGCCTCAGAGAGATGAAGGAAGGACCTGAGTTCTGGGAAAAACTTAATTTGGTAAGTAATAAATAAATTGTATTTTTTCTTTTTGATGAAATAGAGTCAATGCCATTCTCTATTGATGCTATAAATGATTATGTACTTGCAAGAACATCTTGAAGAACTAGAGAGGTGGCTCCTAGTATATTAAAAACTAATGACACTCCAAAAAGTTGTAAACATTTTTTACATTTACCAAAATAACATGCTTGACACGCACACAAATTCCAAATAATTGTGCTGTGTGCAAGATAGTTATAGGATTTATTGGAAGTTCTGATTTACAGTACGCTTCAGAAATTGCGATCTGCTAATTGGACACAAGATTAAAGTTACCTGATGAACTGCTTCTCTCGGTTTTGCTAGTACATGACTGTTTGCATCTTCTCACTTGGAGAGAATGTTAAAAGTCTAAATCTGTTACCCTTTGTGATGCTGAGACTTTCTGTTTTTTTTCAACAAAGGCCCTGCATTTTATGCCTGTGGGGCTTATGGGATTAAAAAGAAAAGAGGTACCAGCAACGGGTTTCAACTGAATATTGAACAAAATGTGCTTGAAAGTGTCTTCACACACAGCTGGTGAAGGCTGACAGTCCAATCCGGAATGAGAAGGGGCCCCAGGCTCTAGGGACTTCTCGTATCTCATCTGCACCTCCTCTAGCATGGCCCTGCCAATTATCCTGCCTCTAACCCAGATTTCTAGGGCTATGAAGTTTCTTGAGTCACCTCTACTTGATCCCACTCCCCTGCTGCATGGACATAGCGTACATTGAATTGACCCACTGGGAGTTCCCCTGAGGATTCTGTGGCCATGGCATGCAGAGTGAGAGTTTAGGACCCTTGGTACCGTGAAGTTAGGAAATCCCCTATCCTTTGTGTCTTCCCTCCCAAGCACAGCTAGCTCCATGACCCTGGTTAGTACAAGCTGACTTGCAAACCCTTTCCTCACCCTCAACTGGGAAATCAATGGTAGTTTTAACAGCTGTTAATGGCTCTCTACTTGCCCTCTAGAAGAAAAGAAAGAACTTCCCAGTCAAGCAAGCATCAAACATTTTCTAAGTGCTCACTGTGCTGTGTACCAGAGATACAGACATCAAAAAACCTCAGTCCCCGCCCATAGGAAGCTCATATTCAGGGAGGAAAGTGAGCACAGAGACAATCACAAGATAACTAGTAGGTGCCTAGATGGAGATAAACCCTATTTACAGTGAACACAAAGAGAAAGGATGTCTATCTCAGTGTGTGAGACTAGAGCTGAGTCTTGAACAATAAATAGATGCCAGTCAGGGGACAATTGTAAAGTGAATTCCAAGAAGAATGACAGCATGGTGACCCAGAGTCTTAAGAAAGGAGGGCGTGATTGAAAGACAACAGGGTTACAAAGGGCCAGTGGTGGGAGGTGAGATGAGAGCAGCAGGCAGAGGAGGATCATGGGGTCCTCGTCTTCCATGACAAGGAGCTTGGAATTTGTGCCTAATTAGGAGGAAGAGAGAAGACCATGGCCTTTAAGCTGTAGCCACCTATAACCTCACCTGCAGCATCTCCTTTTAGCCTCAGGTCATTTTCCATTTATTTATGTCTCATTAAACCTCCTGCGCTCTAGCATAATACATACCCAATATATAAATATTCCACCTCTTGTCAAACCTGAGATCAGGTCGCAGAGATGGGGAGAGATGGATGGTGTTATCCGTGCCTCGTTCTAGACAAGCCCTCATTACCCGTTTTCAGCGGCTAACAGTCCTTGGGATTTGTCTTCCGTTGTCATACATTGCAAATAGGAAAGTGCTAAAGAATACATTTCAGGTGGTAGGTAACCCATAAAAAGAAACAAGAACTGAACAATGTGAGAATTTAATGGTGAGGTTTCTAGGGACATTTCCCACTTTGATGGAACGCAACTGACATTTTTTGGTGGAGTGTGGGAATGATTGCTTAGCGTTGAGAAGGAAATGGTTGGGATTTTTCTCACGTTTCGGTTGTTAAGAAAAGCAACCAAGAATGTGATACTTGTGTTTCACTGACAGTACTGTTGCACAGACACGGATCAGGGGAACTAAAGAGTTCCATTATGTTTGGAGATGTTTTTGCCTCGCTCTTTAATTATTTACAGAAATATTTACATTGCCTATTATCAAAAAATTTGAACATGAGGATGAACATAGAAGCTAAAATCAGATCATTCAGCTAGAATACATTGTCATTCTTAACTAAAAACTGAATATAAATCAGGACATTCTCTCCTATTCCCCAATATTTTCCAGCACTGATCCTCTTATGGTTAACATCTATGATTTTCAGTCCCTTCATTTTGAAATGCTTTCTCTGTCATTTGGAACCATGGTTTTCTTGTCCAGCCTGATGTCATACTATTTTCATTGTTATGGTTGCTTCCGACTAGTAAACATGTACCCTGCAGACAAAGTGTCACTGGTTCTCCAGCTCTTGGTTTCCTTTCATTCGCTCTCCTTGCGTGGGCATGAATTGGTCAAGCAAGGGAGGCAGATATATCTGTTGTTGATCTATGTGGTTTTATGCTCACTGTAGTATGAGAATGCGGTAGGTGATTTATAACCCGGAGTGCACTTAAAGCCCAGTTGAAATTTATCTGGGGGTTTATCTTGGATGGAAGATCACAAACAAATAAATAATCTGAGTAAGACTTCGCCCGCGTTTCAGCCTGGTGTCAGGTTGAGCTGTCAGATTTCAGAATCGGTGGTGCAGTGAGTCTTCCCCTTGACAGCAAGCGAATAGGATTATTTGGTAATGAAGCTGGCGTTTCAGAGCATGTAAGTGTGTGTATGTGTATTGCACGTGTGTGCGTGTGCTTGCAAATGTGTGCACACGTATGTGAGGCTATTTTTGAGAACACAATCGTTCTGCAATCTAGCAGCACGGGGACAGTCGCTGTGTGACACTGTATTCAATCACTGGTTTCAACGACTTCTCTTCTTAAGGTGTCCTCCATAAAAATGATCTTCTTTGGGATTCTTCCAGCCATTGCAGCATCCTAGGTCTCCATCAGTTCCCCGCCCAGGTTGTACTGGGCTCTTTTCTGGCCTCTGCCTCCTGCCATCTCCTTTCCCCACTTGTTTTCCTGCTCTGCACATTCGCACCCGCAGCTCTGCGCCACCCTGCTCCCCTCCTGCTGGAAGCCTCCGAATAACTCCTGCTCCCTGCAGCAGCAGCTGCCCACCCTAGAGGCCCGATGACCACTGTTGATAATAAATACTGTCAATATTTTCTTTAGTGTCCTAAAATGAAACCAGTAGAAATGGCATGTAATTTTGTAAAAGGCAATAGCAGGCCTTACAGGTAATAAAGAGGAGAAATAAGTTAGTTTAAAATAAAGACATATATTTCCCTACGTAAGTGTTGGGCATGTCCACGTTAGAAGACATGAAGAAGTCACAAGGTTCCCACACATACTCTTAGAATCACAGTAAATGTAAATAACAGCAATGGTGTGGTATTAAAGATATAATTATTAAAAGTGGTGCCCAACCCTTGGAAAAGCTCTGAAGAAAACATTTCCCCCGGGTTTACATGGTAGCAGAAAACTTAATATTGTTAACAATGGGCACAGAATATTTTATGTCAAATAGAGTTAGGTTCCAAGCTTGGATGATTGTAATCAGGTCTCTGCCCTCATGCGTATCCGGTAGGATATTTGAAAGTTGTGCAAGGCATGGGGCAGTTCTTCATTGCTCAAGACCGTTCTGCACATTGCAGGGCAGCTAGCATCTCTGGTCCCCACCCACTAACCCCACAAGCATTGTGGAAACAAAAGCATCCGTCCCAATTTCCAAAGTACTCCCTAGGGGTACAGTACCATTCCCATGAGAATGACTGATCCACAGGATAAAATCTAGTCCCATCTGCCTGACACCCAAAGGCCTCCGTGTCCGATCCTCAGGTATTCTCAGCTCAGTCTCTGTGTCCTCTATGATTGCGACCCCTGAACCGATAAACTGAGCCAGAGGAGTTTCACCAGTTGTCCTACTAGTTAGGAAACTGGTTAGGAACTAGGTAAGGATAGCTTTTACTAATCAAATTAGCAAATTACTGTGGTTTTCATGTTAATGCCTAGTGTTGGTGGGAATATCATGGGACTCATTATTACTGTTAATGGGCACGTAAATCTGGACAAATTTTCTGAAGACCAACTTTATAAAGCATATCAAATATCTTAACTTGGCATATATTTTCGTCCAGGGATTCCACTTATAGAGCTTATCCTTTGGAATAGGTACAGAACTGTGGGAGCAGAAAAGCTACTCAGAAGTTCCTAGACATTATTTATAATAGCAAAACACTTAAAATAACCTAGATATTCAACTGTGGGAAATGGTTACATTTTAGTACATAACTTTATTCAAATTTCTAGTGTATAGACAATTAATATTCTGTTCCAAAATAACATATTCATAATTTACTATTTACTAAAATGAGTTATAAAACAGCCACTCAAGTTTGATAACAATTTTGAAAAATCATGTTTATGTATAGATACACATATACATATAAAATATTGTATATATGGTTAGACAAGGGACAGTCAATAGGCACCAAAATATATTAGAGATAGAGTTATAGGTGGTTTTTCCTTTCTTTTGTAGTTCTGTGTAATTTGTTTATTTCCTACAATTAATGTTTATTGCTTTTGTGAAAGTATTAACAACAATAATAAACCAAGGTATAGAGTAACTGACCTGTAGAAGCCATGGATTTCCTTCACTGCTTATCTAGACAAAGGCTCTTCAGGTTTTGACCACATATTCCTAACAGTTAAAAAAATTGAGATCCTGGCTGGGTTGCTCAGTTGGTTAAAGCGTCGTCCCAATAGGCCAAGGTTGCAGATTTGACCTTCAGCCAGGGCACATACAAGAATCAGCCAGTTTAAAAAAAAAAATCAACCAATGAATGCATAAATAAGTGGAATAACAAATTGATGTTTCTCTCTCTCTCTTTCTCTTGCTCTCTCTCTCTTGCTCTCTTTCTAACATCAATCAATAAAA